CAATTTGTGACTATCCGACCAAACGTCTCCACCAACCCCACTAAAGCTCGAGACCCCCAGGGCACACAAGTGACTGAAAGGACTACTATTAGTACTTTTGTTCTTGTATTTCTTACCTACTGCTGCATCTGCTACATTCCTTCGCGCGCGACGCCCCTCTCACCGCGACGCGACCATTTCGTTCCTAACGCACCACACCCGGTTTGAAAGGATCTTCGTTTGGCGGGCACCCTTTTCCCTAGCGCTAGAACGTGAGCCACCAGTTTTAACAACAGCTTTCATCAATAGACTATGCAGGATGTAAACTGAGAAACAAGGATCTAGCTGGAAATACTGTCAAGAGTACAACAATCTTCATCCTTTCTGGGATCCTGGGATCCTGGGCTCAGTACTTTGTCAAGAAACCTTTCATAACACGTCTCTTTTGCCTATCACCTCTGAATTCATTGTAGAAGGTAAAGGGGCAATCAAATCTGAACTAAGGTTTTCGATGAAAATCGTTCTGTGATGCGTCTTGGAACGGAATTCGGTAAAGTAGCCTACCCTTTCACCACCCTCTGTAAAGCATAATGGCGATGTAGCAAGGATGTAAAAACAATTTCATTGTCAAATTTTGGATTGTTTACAGTGTTTATTGTCAAATGCTATGCAGTTGTGAATTGTATTGCAAAGAAAACTGAAAAAAGTCGATGTATGGGAGCGATAACCCTTCACCGAATTCGCTACTTTCTACTGAAATCCCTGACTTCAGCACATCCGGATGTGGTGTACGATACCGTCCATACAATTGCAATGACATATCGGATTTGCTCGAGATTGAGTCAGTTTTTCAGCCATTTTCACGTTTACGACAATCAGTAAGTTTCCTGTACGTCAATAAGGAGGGCTACTTTAACACTCTCGAGTGCATATCTCCTCAAAGGAGCTCATGCTGGCTCATGCTATCTCGACCTTGCAAATGTAGCGATCAAAAGTGCACTTTGATGTGTTCCAGGGTTAAAATAATTATTTCGAACATGACTGATGAGTGATTTCCAGATCGCAATCGAACATGGGTGCTACTCGAGGATAATCACTTTGTATGATGTGTTGCGACGGTTATTTACGAAAAGTAAAAGTTTGAACAACATGTCACTGTGCTGATCCTCACTCACTTTTGTTAAACTGAGTTCCTATAAAAAGCTCTCGTTGAAGAAAGCTTTTTTCAAATGGCAGAGAGGGTTCCCCGTCTCTAAGAGTACAAGTCAAAATAGGATTGAAGACTCGAGTGACTATCGATGCTGTCGTGGTCCAAATTATGTTGTCGCATTCTTTAAGTACAATCGACATCACTGATCAAGGCACTAACCATAAGATCCTAGTTTGAAACTGAATTGGATAAGACATGAGATTGAAAGGGTCACCTACCTATCCATTGAAGACCGGAGCCTTCTTCATTCGACACTACAGGGAACCAGCTCATCAACTGTTTTCTCCTCGTAGCGCTACCATAGCATCTTTCTGGCTCCTTTCAAGGAAGGTCTCTCAAGGCGTGGAACGCTTTTTGAAAATGGTTTTTTGCATGATATAGGGGCATGAGCACAGAGTATAGAACTATGGTCCATTTCCGCTAAATGGCCTTCTGATGCCAAAAANAAAAAGGAGTGAAAATGATTTTGTCAGAAATTGCGTTTTAACCCTCGAAGCCTCTTTCGTTTCATTCATGGCGTCGACTGTCCGCACTATAAAAGGGGCCAGTGGAGGCGACATTGAAAATATGTGAACGGTAGCCATAAAAGGGAGACAAATGTTGAAACATATTGAAGAGTGTGGGGAGGTTTATATGCGCTCTCCACGGTTAAGCGGCTGGCAGCGACGGGCAGTGTGGTGGATAGCGATGTGGACTTCGACTTGGGATGGCTAAGTAAGCTGAGTTGATGGTTCGGCTCCCCGAAGCTTTCCCATTTTTGCATTTTATGCTACCACCTCCAGATTGCCTCCATATTGCACCAGGCCCAAGCAAGTGCCTGGCCGGTCATGGTCGTGACCAGGACCAGCGATAACCTCCACAAGTCGTTAGAATTTGATGTGCGGAGCAATATCAGTGGAGGACCTTGCAGGCTTCACGCTCCCAGGGGTCGCCCCTTCCCCCCTCCCCCTTCAACTTCACAACTTCATCTTATTTCGATGATTTTACCGTTTTTTACCCTGGCGTTGATCTCGCGCCGTTAAAGGGTTTTTGCTCACTGTTCTGTTTGGTCATCTCCATCTCCTTCTCTCCTCACTATCAGTATCTCTTGCAGTCACCTCGACTTCAGCAATGTCCTTCTCGATCGCGTCGTGCCAGCCCTTCATAGCAGGACGCGGAGTTAGGGGCTCGTATCGCCCAAACCCTTCATCTAGTCATTAATCCAGTAATCTGGCGCTTGAGTGATTCCTTTCAGGGCTGACAGGTTTTTATATCAAGCCCAATGCTCATGGATCCCTCAGCAAGAAGACGAGTTGAAAGAGAATCTGATTCGTTTTCCCACAGAAGTCCGCGGTTGACGCCCAGGGAAAAATCGGAATCGGGAGCTTCAATGAGTATGGGAATCCTGCTATCTTTGCATTGATGAACGAGGTCGAGGACAGCTTCCATCGGTCAGGAACCATATTTAGGACACTTATATAGTATGGAATGAAGAGACCCCTTTATACTCCTGGGACTGTGAAGCCTGGAAGCTCCCCCACTGATAGTGCTCCACACATGAAATTCTAACGACTTGTATCGGTGGTCCTGGTTACAAACATGAGCAGGCACTTGCTTTGGCCTCGACCTGGTGCAATATGGAGCCAATCTGGAGTTGGTAGCATAAGATGCAAAACGGCAAAGCCTCGAGGACGGACCCATTAACCCAGCCTAGTCGTCCCAACTCGAAGTCCACATCGCTATCCACCACACCAACCGTCGCTCCTAGCAGTTCCACCTTGGACAGCACATATGAAACTTCTCCGCACTTTTCGACGTTTTTCAACATGTGGCTCCTTTTTTTGGCTACCGTTCACACTATAATGCGCAATCCACTGGCGCCTTCTACTGTGCGAATAGTCGACGCCATGAATGAAACAAGCTACAAGTTAGTGGGTTAGAACCGCAATTTCTGACAAAATCATTTTCACTACTTTTTTGGCATTCAGAAGGCCATTTAACGGAAATGGACCATAAATCTGTACTCAGTGCTCATGCCCCTACACCATGCAAAAACCGTATTTAAAAGGTGTCCCACGCCGTAAAAGACCTTCCTTGTCAGAGGAGGAGAGCCCTCTGTCCTGTTCCTAACGTCAAGTTACATCTCCCACTGCTCTCACCTAGCTTACCGTCTCCAACCGTCTGGAATGGTCGGCATACCGTGTTTCGAAGTTCCGGTGAGCCCCTGTGACTGCGTATGTGGCGACTAGGGCATGTGGCCAAGTGATGCAGGTCGGCGTCGCGAGTTGCATCGGGAGGTTCTGTGTGCAGTGTACATGATAGTCTTACTTTTTGGAACGCACAGAAGCCTTTATGATTGCAGTGACTAAGAGGTTTGTCTTTTGAACTATCGATAGAGACTTCTCATGCCTTGTTTCTTCCCCTGCATTTAGTCGTTTTGAAAGTGATCCGAAAGTGATCTCTTGTCTAGTCAGCCTAATGATTATTTCGACCTTCTCGAATACTCGTCTTTTCCGCCAATACTCAGCGATTGCTCAACCGCTTCTACCATATACTTTTCTTAAGTGTGTTGTTGTTGTTATGTTTATCGTTTTCTACTGTTAGCCATTTTCCTTTTTCGTCATTAAATACTGAATGAAATGACTGCTGCCTGCTGTAGTTCTCCGCCTGCCTAACTGTAGCGCGTCTTAAGGGCGCAGAGTAAATAAATAAACAAAAAATAAATAAATGATTCCGGTAAGATTTCTAGCGCACATAGTGCCATGGCATGTGTTATGTTCTGATTACAGACTAACATCGAAATATTCTGGCGAACTCCTCACGAAAATCTCGATAAAGCCAAAGATATACAAAGATATTGAACGAGGAATTAATAATGCTGGCCCAGTTGAACGTTTGCGATATCCATTCATCCATTCCAGCCTGCAACGGTTGGCCTTTACTTAATTCCTTTACGCGAAATAATGAAGGTAAGCAGTCATCAATCTCCTCTGGACAGGTTCCAAATCCAGTTTTCCTTGGCGATTACAAAGACGCTTGAAGGCACAGTTCACGACAGAAATGATTGCTGAGATTTACCCACTGGATGAATTCGAGGTCCCCTCATATACCATATTTGGCACTATTAGGTCGGAAAACGGCGTAGTTAGGGCATTATAAAGGCTCAATGATTGCATGTGTGTATCTTCGGACGAGTTTCACCGGTACTGCAGAGGCTGCACCGATCACAAGGGAACCCATGTAGTAAGTTCAAACAACTTGTCATGACCCATAGCGACAGCGAAGGGGAATTCTGGATAGTATCGGCTTGATTTAGTCAGCTCTTTGCGCAACTGTAGTAACCGAAATCCCGAATACCCCTTCCATGCCATTTCCGTCATGGCAATCTCGTCCAACCTGTATTTTCATGACTTTTAAGAAGCCATATTTTTCTCGAAATTGGCGAATTTTCTCGCTTTCTTCACTACCGATGAACTATTTCCAATTTATACTTCCGCTTTTTGAATAAAACGGGGTACCTCGGAATTATCGTGAATTGTGCCTTTAAATGACTACTCACCAAGTTACACAATTACCCATCTTTACCAGAGTTATGTGGGGGTGCTGTAATTCTGTTGTCTAAGTAAGCCATGGGAAGGGGATGAACACATCCCACAGGAAACCTCATTGGATCTAATCTTTAGGAGCGCCGAACGAGGTTAGCAAAGGTGTTCGCTCTACGAAAATTATGCTACCAGTGGATGGACGAATGGACCAATGGACGCGCCTGTACAGTGGAAATGCTGGATGAGGGAGCTACTTTCACTACGAATCTCTACACGCAACAGCTACGGGATATGAAACGTATCGTCGATCAGCGAAAAAGAATTGCCCGGAAAATCCCCTTCTAGCACGACAATGTAAGAGCTCACGTTTCTAGAGAGGTGAAGTTGGAACTCGTGTAGAATAGTATTTTCCTTTGAACATTACTATAATCAGAGTTCATGATAATTTCAGGGTATCCTGTTTTAGATTCATAATTTAAGTCATCGCCCAGGATAGTGCGAATGTGGCGAAGAAAACGCAAAAATCGGCGTATTGTCAGAAATGTATGGCTTCAAGAATGAAGAATATTCATGAGTTGGACGAGAATCTGACGATAAAGAAGGTATTCGGAGTATTAGGACGAGCTGTCGCACGACGCACGTCAATGCATACAGTTGGCTGCGTGCAAGGAGTGGGTCTCGGTGCAGATGGTGCAACCTCTACAGCCTCTACTACACCCAAGAACGGTCCGCTTTGGATGTGTAGGTCGGCTAATCCGGCTTTGGAACCCTTATTACACCCTATCTTGGCCGTCTTTCGATCCGACAGCGTCCTTCCGACAATCTTCAATTTCAACCTAGGCGGAAATCTCAGGAATCACTTTTATCGTGAACTGTGCCTCAAAGCGTGTAGTCAGAAAATGGGGCAGAATTTCCAGCCAATCTGATAGTTATGGTCTCCCGCCATTATTCGACCTAGTTACCGAACTTCCGGAATTACCTAAGCACTCAAGCTTTCGTTTGAAAGTATTTACATTTCTTAATTGAAAAAAAATTGCAGGGTGTGGAGCCTTAAAAAAAGCAAGGTCTTACGAAGCGGAGTTGGTCGAGGATTAGCGATTTCACGTTTGGAATTGACACCAATACCGTTGAGAGCACTCCAAGTGCTAGTCCATATCGTATCCTCTTCATTTGCTCTCGAACTGTTCTGAAATTAGTGGAAAAATATCGAGATATTTCAGCATCAATCACTGTTTATCAATAGCAATAATAGAGCCTAGTCATCAGGAACTTGATACGGATTTTAAGAGCGGAATAAATACATACGGCGTGTTTATAATCGATTTCGCGTGCAAATAAGCTGCAATGTTCATCAGCAGGCCAAAGAAATAGCCTAACATTTCCCAATAGTAAATGGATTGAGCATAGGATAATGAAAACGTTACTTTTCTGCCTGAAATTAAGGATAATCGCTGCTACTAGTAGAATACAGTTGTAAAAAAAAGGCATTCAATGGTCGTTACTCATTAATTGACTTAACTACGTGCCGTATCACTTGTCTTTCTCTTCTAACTGTAGGGGCTATCATTCATTTTTGCAACGGACGACGCGACACTTGAACGGGCCACGAGAATTTGGGCAGTTAGCACGATGAGAGTATGGACGGGGATTAGTTCGCATGGCAGTTGTCGCGCCGGCGGCGACGCCTTGCTCCTCGCTATACGTTGGAATCGGTGTTCGCCGCTTAGGAGCGGCGTCGCCGTCGGCGTGATTGCCTGGTCGGAGTCTTACGCTGCGCTCGCTCTCGCCCCATTTGCCGCGCGGGATATTACTGTGGCCCTTGCGGACCCTACGCTGTTCCTGCGCTCCTACCTTCACCCTACGCGTGCTACGTCCTACGACCCGGGATAGCCTACGCACAGCTTAACCTCAACATTCAAGCCAGATATAACTTCCACGGCATCATCGTCTACGGTGTTAAACCACTAACACAATACTATTCGCAGTCTTTCATGGATACGCCAATAAAAAAAGAATGTTAATACGACAATGAAAACAAGTGGTAAAAAAGGAATGTATGTCATATACATATATACATAAAAGAAACATGAAATACGTGAGCAATTAAACTACGATGGAAACCAGCAAACCTACGTCTCAGGTGGTACGANTGCTACGTCCTACGACCCGGGATAGCCTACGCACAGCTTAACCTCAACATTCAAGCCAGATATATGGCCTACAGCCAGGCCTACATTCCACGGCATCATCGTCTACGGTGTTAAACCACTAACACAATACTATTCGCAGCCTTTCATGGATACGCCAATAAAAAAAGAATGTTAATACGACAATGAAAACAAGTGGTAAAAAAGGAATGTATGTCATATACATATATACATAAAAGAAACATGAAATACGTGAGCAATTAAACTACGATGGAAACCAGCAAACCTACGTCTCAGGTGGTACGAACCCAGTACGTTAATCTCACGAGGGGGCGACGTGGCCCGGGACCGCTCGGCACCTTTGGGCTTCCATGCACAAGTCGACCACTTCACGTTCCGTCGGATTGCATCACACTTCCATGCTCGAGCGGTACGACGACAGGACGACGGGCAGTGACGTCCGGCTACGACGTTGAATGCAGACACACTGCAGGATGGTGTTAGGCCAGAGCACGCGTCGAGTATAGCCGACGCGCAGGCGCCGATACATTGTGCGCGCTGGGACCCCTGCGCGCCCGACCAGGCGTGACCCTTTAACAAGTCGGGCGGAAGCCACGACAGCAGTCAACACTTTTCCCTTACCGTAAACGAGTTACTTTCGAGGCTCCTTTCTGTCATGGTCGGCTTGCCGTTCTACAGTAGAAATGGAACGATAAAAGATGCAAGGAAGATAGTCGGAGGCTTTGAATGAGGGAGATCCACTAGAATGGACTATCATAATCCCAGAAACTTTGTCAAATTCTGCCCTGGTGCTTTCTAGCAGTGCGGTCGAAGCAGTTCTAATTTTCAACACCTACCACAATCGAACTTTACGTAACCATTCCCGTTGTTCATGATCGCCAAAGCTATTCCAACAGCACAAAAGAATAGAACAGCGAAAACGCTCAAGGCACATAAATAAAGTGTCCTGAAAATATGTATTTAACAGACGAGAATTCCCTGAGATCCCAAACAAACAGCCTAATTAGAATGCAAATATAAAATTTTTCTGCTTTAATGATGATCTCTTCTTCATCACTTGTACACTGGTCATTTTCAAAGCATTATATGTAGATAGCATTTCAATAGGTTTTTTCGCTTACAGTTTTGAAAGTTAGAGAATCGTATTTATCTACTCTTTACCTTCTCTAGAGTATCTTTATTCTCGGACTCCCTTTTTTAAAAATCTTTGACGAATCCCACGGGTTCCGAAAGAGTTGGTGGCAAGCACCGGCTGTCACCGCCGTGGTTCAGAGGTGTTCTTTTCAGGTATCAATAACATAAATTCGATTTGTAAACGTTAACTACCAACATGGCTTGGCTCAGCACAGGAATGGAGGAACTTGTATGTGCATACCGGTGCCTTACTCGAAGGAGGCTCATGAGAAGCTGGCGCTACATATACCCTAGCAACTCATAAGATTCCTTATTATTTTGGAAGTTTTGGTAATCAATTTTAGTGAAGAATCGCAAACACACAGTTTCACAAGCACAGATTGAATTACCTATCACGGACGTATTTGATGTAGGCAATAGGTGTCATGCATGCAATCACACGTTCCGTTCCCATAATCAGTTGTATTACAGGAGGCCAAACATTTCCAATTATTCTGAAAATAAACGTCTATTCCTTAGCCAGATAATTCTATTGTACTAAAAAGAAGTGAACAAGTTGATTAATCAACGTGTAAATGAAAGGGCTATCGATTTAGTCTTTTGTTCTAACATAAGACCACGGTTCTGGAGGAAAGTCGGAGACTGGGCCGTCTTAGAAACAGGACTGATCGCCAAACAGAAACAGGACGCCATAAAACTTATTTCTCTTTAATAAGCCTATTGGGTCGGGCAAAAACACAGTGCAATACCCTTTGAGCTTGCTTCATTTTCATGAGAAGCAAGCTGTCTAGTTCATGATCGTTCTCGGGATTCAGAACTCTCTGGTTAAGGGTAATTCCATGCTATCCTCCTAGATTCGGCTCATAATAGGGAGTAAGGCATTATCCAAATAAGACCTCCCTACAATTGAAGAGAATGAGTGTATAGAATCAGTCCCACCTGAGCCAAATGTACAGTCCGCTCGCACATGACAAAGATGTCTGTAAGGGAACAGCCTGGAGCTGTAAGGAATGAGTAAAGAGGATATATCTATCGAATCCCATCAACGACAGAGCCAAACAATTGATTAAATCGCCAATAGTAAGGCAGATTATCAGCTGAAATTTGTATGAGAATATGCAATAAATGTAAACAGCTGAAGAGCAGCAAAAAACAAACCTTAGCTTCACGACGGAGCTTTCTTGAGGCTAGAAGAGTCACCAACAGAGGTATGTTAAGTAGACTGCAAATGAAACCAAAAACACCAAGAGCACAATAAGCTGTTAGGAGACCAGTCATGATTTCCATCAGAGCATCATCGGCTCTTGCCATGCCCTGTGGAACCGACGACATACTGTCTCTCATAGATGTCGTCAGAATCTGAAATAAAAAGCACTGCAGAGAACAGGAGAAATTAACGGTGCATGATAATCTTGAGACGCCCTTTTTATGTCGGGAGGGAAGTATGGGATGAGAATTGCTCATCGGCTGCGAAGAAAGCGAGAAAGTTTGCCGATTTTGCGAAAAATAAGGCTCCTCAAAAGTAGTGAAAATAGAGGTTGTACGAGATTATCGTGACGGAAATGACCCTAGTGGGTATTTGGCCGAGATTTTAATTGTTGCAAAAGTGTAAAGAGCTGGCTACATCAAGTCAGAATTGTCTAAAACTGTCTTTCACTGTCGCTATGGGACATGACAAGTTGTTTGTACTCCCTACATGGGTTCTCTCCTGAATGGTGCAGCCTCTACAATGCCGTTGAAACTCGCCCGCGCATACTCACGGGACAATCTCTGAGTCATAACGCCCAATCTGGCCCGTTTTCCAACCTGACAGCGCCACATATGATACACAGAGCGAGCTACAGATTCATTCCACGATACAATCTCAAGAGCCATTTTTACCATGAACTGTGCCTTCAATGTGAACGAGAAGGCGAATTCCTGCTTGCCCCTGTTTTACACGCACAAAGAAAAAACAGAGGGGATACAGATACAGTCAAAATAAGTCGTTCAGGGGCAGCACTTTGCCCCAGATATCATGAAACAGAGCGAGCAAAACAAAATCAACGCTATGTTAGCGCAGGAGCAATTTGAGCCGCAGGGAACTGTGCCAAAGTGGCAGGAAGAGCGAAAGCTGTTCTGGCAATCTTAAAATCTAGGTTGGTCAGTAACTTCTTATTTAGATGAAGATTACTGGCTCTAACATGATAAAATGAAATCGTTGCCTGGGTGGCAAATTGCCTGAAGACCTTCTTTGTATTCAAAAGGACACAGAATAAATTGCTTCTAGATGGCAATTACAGAGAACTTTTCTAGTTGCAGTGTAAGTGGGAGTAAATGAACCACTACACCATACTTCTCGTTCAACGGTTATGATTGAAACTGACGAAAACACGGTATATGGTAGTAGTTCTTCGTCCGGTGTAATTATATAGTGGCAAGTGGGGGACGGAAACAATCTAATAGAAACCTAATCTAGAACGCTACATATCAGAATGCCTAAGCACTAGTACAGCCTATCTCACCCATTCGGATTTAGTTGAAAGATATCAGATTCAAATTCGAGAGTAAAAACACAGAGCTCTACATGGTGTGGGGCCTACGAACTATTTCATAGATCAAATGTTACAACGATCCTGAATGAAAGACGAATACATAGGAGCACTTTAACAATGGGGTTGGTCAATGGCGAAAGATTTTTCTCTTCAGAATTTGTCCTTGTGATCTTTCTCCTTTGAAGGAATGAGCTAAGGGATTCGAGTGGTAACTGTATCACAAAAATAAATCCCGTCTGAGGGATGCGCTCCGCACTCGATTTCCAATCAAAATCGTAGTGGCGTATTGAATGCGTACGTGGCCTATACAATGACTTGCGGTGGCCAGCCAATGTACAAGTCAGTGCTTTTATCCTCCCAGATGAGTGGTACCAACTTACCGACTCTGAAGGGATGGAAGGCCTGCTTGGTCAAGGCAATATCGATCCGGGATTCGAACCCGTGACTAAATTGGTAAAATGGTTAACTTGATACAGATATTTTCCAGCAAAGTGAGAGAGCACAGAATAGCGCAGGATTCTAGGAACAATCTTTAGAATTCTCAAATCAGAAGGAAGATATTGGTACTGCAAAAGACAGATGAGTCTTTTCGTTTGATAGCTCCTTTGGTAGATCTGTTTCATCGATCCGCTGTTGGAGCCAGAATTTCCGTAATTTAGAGCTAAGCTCCTCCTACCTGTAACAATAGATACCGTACATTTAAGAGATTTTCGCTGGTCTGAGTCAGGCAATTGCTTTGGTCTTGGTGCAACATGGAGCCATTCTGGAGGTAACACCATAAAATGCAAAAACGGCGAAACCTCTGGAATCCGAACCATCGTCCCAACTCGAAGTCCACATTGCTATCCACCACATCATCCGTCGCTGCCAGGACATCACCCGTGGAGAGCATATACGAAACTTCTCCGCACTTGTCAACATGTTTCAACAAGTGACTCCCTTTTTTGGCAACCGTTAGGCCTTCCATCCCTTCGGAGTCGGTAAATTGGTACCACTCATCTGGGAGGACAAAAGCACTGACTTGTACATTGGCTGGCCACCGCAAGTCATTGTATAGGCCACGTACGCCTTCAATACGCCACTACGATTTTCATTGGAAATCGAGTGCGGAGCGCATCCCTCAGACGGGATTTATTTTTGTGATACAGTTACCACTCGAATCCCTTAGCTCGTTCCTTCAAAGGAGAAAGATCACAAGGACAAATTCTGAAGAGAAAAATCTTTCGCCATTGACCAACCCCATTGTTAAAGTGCTCCTATGTGTTCGTCTTTCATTCAGGAGCGTTGTGACATTTGATCTATGAAATAGTTCGTGGGCCCCACACCATGTAAAACTCTGTGTTTTTATTCTCGAATTTGAATCCGATATCTTTCAACTAAACCCGAATAGAGTTGGGCTGTGCTTGTACCTAGGCATTCTGATATGTAATGTTCCAAATTAGGTTTCTATCCATATAATTACACCGGACGAAGAACTACTACCATATATCGTGTTTTCGTCAGTTTCAATCATAATCGTTGAACATGAATAAAGGTGTAGTAGTTCATTTACTCCCACTTACACTGCAACTAGAAAAGTTGTCTGTAATTGCCATCTAGAAGTAATTTATTCTATGTCCTCTTGAATACAAAGAAGGTCTTCAGGCAATTTGCCACACAGGCAACGATTTCATTCAATCATGTCAGAGCCAGTAATCTTCATCTAAATAAAAAGTTACTGACCAACCTACATTTTAAGATTGCCAGAACAGCTTTCGCTCTTTCTGTCACTTTGGCACAGTTTCGTACGGCTCAAATCGCTCCTGCGCCAACATCTTGTCGATTTTGTTTTGCTCGCTCTGTTCTATGATATCAGGAGCAAAATGCTGCCTCTGAATGACTTGCTTTAACTGTATCTGTATTCCCTCTGTCCTTTCCTTGTACGCGTAAAATCGAACCAGGGCAAGCAGGGACCCTGCTTCGCTGGCAGTAGCCTTCGATCAGATCCTAGAATGTCGTCGTGGCTTCGCCGAGCCTCCTATCCCTCCAGCCTCGACTTTTCCGGCCACAGGACATAAAAAAACGCAACTGCCCATCCTCATCGTGGAGCAAATGCAAGATTGTCCCGATAAAGCATCCATTTAATTGTCACAGCTATTTTGCACAGAGTTGGATGCGTGGGATAATCCAATATAGACTTGGCAGACATTGAATTCGCCTTCTCGTTCACATTGGAGGCACAGTTCATGGTAAAAATGGCTCTTGAGATTGTATCGTGGAATGAATCTGTAGCTCGCTCTGTGTATCATATGTGGCGCTGTCAGATTGGAAAACTGCCTAGATTGGACATTATAATGACGCAGAGATTGTCCATTGGAGACATGCTAACGGAACCCGTCGCTGATATTATTTTCATTGATGCCCTTTCCGAGTGATAGGATGTCATTCGAGTCACGCCTTCCGACAAAAGATAATTGCTCATAGCTATCTTTATGAAAGATGTGGCGCGTGATTAAAGAACAGTCTCTCATACATAGTGTACGTCAGCTAACCTTATATCGCTAGCTGTAATAAAAAAAGGCGGTGTTCTCCCAGTGAATTCTCCTGCACGACTGAATTTTCTCTTACCTTCTGCTTGACCTGTTCATAAATGAATCCTTCACGAAGTATTTCCACCACGAACATTCCGTCAGACTTGCCTTACCACAGTTGCGAAGAATCTGCCTCATGTCCTATATGGGCAATGCAGAATTCGATTTCGTACCCATGTCTGAGTTATACCTTGCCTAACCATGTATCTTTATCAACGTCTGCGATGCAGGGCTATTTTGCAACGACTTACATTTATAAATGCTGTGCAATGATCGATTCGTTCGCAGGTATTAGACGAATCTACGGACAGCGGTGGTGATCCTGACCGATGGCACGTGTGGTACACTCGTGTAACACCCTCCTCCGTTTTTTTGCTCCGTGAAGGATGTCATAGGTCTTCCCTGTGCTGCTTTCAGCCACGTCTGCAGTCGCGATTAACTCATCTAATGAACTCGGTCGGTACACCGTCCATTACGTTGAAGTCGTCGTTGTTGTCAAATGATAACTTGCCAACTTGGTACTCCTCGATTCCACCATGCGAACTAGTACAGTGTTTAACGAGTTCTTTTAGGTTCCGTGCGCTCTCACCGCATTCTGGACATATCACATTCCGATCTGGAACAGTGAGGGGAGTTTTACATTTCTTTTTAAAGAATATTCGTCAAGCCGTACGCAGTGTCGCTGACGCACGAGGAATGAGTTTCTCAGCGAGAAGACCTTATCGCTGCGCTGTTCTCACATGTAATGATCTCTTTTTTCTCTAGATGATCTCTTTTTTGCCTCGGCTCCATGGCATTTCAGGTTGTTCAACTGCTTCTGGTGTAATCATGCCGATAAAAAATATGTTGGTATAGAAACTGTCTGACTTGTTGATGTCTAACTTCTTCAGGTTACAGGAAGCATTCTTCCGACATTGTTCAGAATTCCTATGAAGCGCTAATCAGCAAAAAAAAAGCAAAAACAGCAAGTAGAAAGTAAAAGAATAGCGAAAGAAGAGCAACATTATAAAAGAGATAAAAAAAAGTTGTAACACACCCAGAAACACATCCCTAAAAAACATACCCTACTCTTCAAAACTTTCACAGAAATATGATTTACAAAGATGATTTCAACTGAGCAATGGTAATGGATATCTAAAATGAACCCGCCTCAAAACAGAACACTGGTCGCACAATGACAGAAACAGATCTGCAAGGATTAATTGGATAATGGTAAAGAATATTCAAAATGAACTCACCCCAGCATTCAACACTCTCAGCGATGATAAAAACAGGTGTGATCTGCAAGAATACTTCCACACGAACAATGGTGAAGGATATCAAAAGGAACTTTCCTCAAAACGTAACAGTGCAACGTAACGCATGATGACAGAAAAAGATATGAGACAGAAACGGATCTGCAAGGATAAATTGAACAATAGTAAGGGGTACTCAAAATGAACTCACTCCAAAACGCAAAATCTTCGCAATTATAGCAAGAACAGATGTGATCTGCAAGGATCAATGATCAAATGAATGATGGCAGTAGATATTCGGAAAAAACTATCTCAAAATTCTCGAAACTTGGACAGGAAGAATTAACCTTTGCAAGATCGTGCCTGAAAAGTGGTGGCTAGTAATATCAAAAGGAACTTAACTTGAGCGAATATGGTGGCCACTGTTCCTACTGCAACACAAACCCTCACTCTTTTTTTCTAACGAGGAAAGATCTCGAAAGAGGAAGCTAAAAAAGGTTAACTGCCCGCGCTCTAATGCAAACGAGGCGCTCGAAAACTCGGGTAAGTGTGTTACACATTCACGGGACTGTCATACCCGCCTTGTCCTTGCGGTAATGCTGCTCCGTCGTTCATCCTTGGCTGCGAACTATTCCACCAGATCTTCCTTGCGTGGAGTTGATTTGGCGGCAGTAGCTCCGATGGTGGATGGCGATATAGTGATGCTGCTGGATCCTCTGGAGCTGCGCGGATGGCGTTGACGCGAGTGTGTACAAGGAAACGGAGACGACCAGGCGACGACGGTGACATAAATGATGCAATCGTCGCGTGATGGCATTAGCAGCCAGAATCTGTGGCTAAGCATAGACACGTAGCGGCCACTCGCTCCCTGCAGCGTACTGTGCTTTCTCGGCGGGACCAAGGTGCGCGCCACGCCAGCCGACCTAGGAAGTCGAACGGAAGGCACAACACTACCCTCGCAAGGAATACAGAAAGGGTCTTTCGGCTAAATCTTAGCTCATGGCCGTTTCAAAAATGCCTACTTATTTGCATTTTTTTATGCTTCAAGTACATGAGTTTTGCTTGCCACCGTTAGGATAAAAACAAAGAGTCAGAGATGTCAAAAAGCACTCTTGTATTTTCATGTTTATTCGCAAATAAAAAATGTGCTACATGATCTGTTTCATTCATCGATTCGAATGCATTTAGATGCGCATGTGAGATCGTCCCAATGTGCATTTCGGCTGAAAAAGAATTTTTTGAAGCATTCAAGTCACGATTAGGAAAATTTCGCATTGATCCTACTGTTACCCTTGCTTACTACATCTATTACTCTCAGTTCCCACAACGGTCATACACCCATCCCCATTGTTAGGCTCACCCTAAAAAACGCAAAGCGGTGCTGTTATCAAACCGATGGTGAAATATCAAATAAGGCCAGCCAATTATGGTCTCCATAACTCTGGAGAGGGTGAATAGGTACTGCAGCCCTGTGGTAGGTTAAAAATATAAACTTTTACATTGGCTGATCGAATCAAAGTCGAAAGCCAGGGAAGCTGCCACCATAACCACATTGATCACTACCGACGGTTTTGTCCTATACTCGCCGAACTTTTACCACCTCTTTTTTTAGGAGAATCTAGGAGCACATATTTTTTTATTAGCATGCGGACAAATAGGCGTGATTTCGTGATTCCTGGGAGGGGGGAACTGAATGCGGGAAGAATGGGAAACACCTCTAGACGTAGCTACTACTCTTGGTCACTGACCGATCCATGTCCCTACTTCTCTGGGAAAGGTTAGGATCCATGTCCCTACTTCTCTGGGAGAAAGTTAGAAGTGAAACAGAGTTCCACCATCTGTCAACACACTTTCCTGAAATATCGCAAGCGTTACTGCTACCGAAACGGTTGAGGAACACTTGCAGCTACTTCTAGAGACCCCATTCCTCGACCTCGCTTTTCTTCTCGATCTTTTCTCCACCTTGCACTCCTCACTGTACAAGACCCTCTTGCCACCACTTGCATCCAAGACGAGATCAACCGAATTTAAAAAAGGCGTGTAAATAATCCACCCCCTCTCTCTACCTCTTTCTTCCTTTTCCGATTTTCCTGGGATTGCAGCGTTGCTTCTTTGGCCGTCTCGTTTAACCCCTGAAACATATCGGCCTCTGTTGGTTCACGAATTTGAGTCAAAACACTGTTGGCATGTTCATTCGAAGAAATCACCTTGATTCTGCATAGAAGACCATGACTGATAGGTTTGTTTTTGCGAATACAATCAGTGACGTCAATCAGCAGACGTTCAGCTATTCCCGTAATCGTTGACCATTCTCGATCATCAGATTCGTCAGCACGTCGAGCAAAGTATCGAACCAAATTCTTGAAATGATCGGCTTAGGAAGCTATGGATGCGATTTGTACAATGAATATTTGGATAGGAACATCCTGACTGGTACCCTCCCACGAATATTATGCTCCTTTTCTTCATTTAGCGATGGCCCCGGGAAGATTCTCCTTTGGATTGCTCCCATTAGTGTTCTGCAGTTCCCCTAGTGCCTATAGTATCCATAAAAAAGGAAACTATCCGTACTTCTAGGCTTTTTCGAAGTTGCTCCTGATCTATCGTACGGTCTTCGGACTTGCTTCCTTTGCTCTCCTTATCTTCTTTACTGATTTCGCTTTCCTCACTGACTCCACTTATTCCACTGGCTCCGCTTGCACTGGTTGGGCTTTGCTCGCTGGTTGCTGAGAAGGCACTATTCGACGCAGAACGCCTCCCTTTCTGGAAATGCAGTCTAAGTTGTATATGAGTTGTAAATTGTAAAGTGACTGAAAATAAGTATAAAGGTTGCAGGCAGAATTATTTGCTCGACTGAGACTGCACTTCCATTTGATTCCCTTGGTTTTCTGCTGAAATTCATAGAAGCACAAAACATGATTGACAGCAATTTTGAATTCACTCCAAAGGCTTGTGAGGTGCTGAATTGTGCAACTGAATAACTAAAAGTCTTGTAAAGGTGGATGACCCGTCGGGAAAGTCCACCTAATAAATTTAGCGCCTTGATTCACGAGGAAGGGTTAAGAAGGAGATGGCCAAGCATCTTGAAAATATTACTGCTGAGGTTGGGGTATGGATACATTCACCCAGAACTGGCGGACGCGGCAAATCGCGCGGCGAAACTCGTGGCGTATTAAACGACTTTAGCGCCTATCAATGGGGCCCAAATCTGAA